TTGTGAATATACCGGAATGAAAATTAATAAAAATAAGTGTAAGATTATTGATATTGTCGGGAATATAGGGAAAAGTCAAAATGATATAGAATATTGTGATAACATGAAAGTACTTGGGATATGGTACGGTAATAATGCAGGACATAAGAATCTGGATGAAATGCAGACTAAAATTAAAAGTGAGATTAGGCAATGGTCTGATAATTGGTTGTACATGCCAGAAAGGGTACAAATAGTTAACAGAGTAATAATTCCAAAGATCATTTATAAGTTATATATTACTAATCTAGACAAAAATGATATAAAAATATTAGAAAGAGATATATATACTTACTTGTGGAATGGCACATTTGAACCCATGAGTAGAAAGATCATGCGTAACAACATCAATGAGGGAGGATGGGGTATTATTGATCTGAAAGATTTTGAGAGATCATTACAAATGAGTGTTATTATAAATAGTCTTAGAGATAATAATCATCCGCTTTTTTACTTAATAAGATATATTATTGGACCGATCTCCAATCATATAACTCGGCAGGCAACAAGTTATCCCTTTATGTTAAGTAATAAAAGAAAATACAAGAAATGGAGAGAAATATTGAGAAGTTTAATTGATAACTATAGTGATGTATTGGATTTCGGAAGAAAAATTAGACCGAAATATATTTATAATTTTATCCATAAACAGCATATGAATAATAGTATGATAAATGATACTAGGGATTGGCCCAGAATTTGGAAAAATATATTTAGTATGCCTGCCGAGTGGATAGAGATTTCATGGCGAATTTTGTCAAATATAGTGATGTGTAAAGAATATCTACGGATCTATAATAGAGTGAGAGATGAGAGATGTACGAGATGTCGATCTGTGGAATCTATAGTGCATATATTTTATGATTGTAATATCGCAGTATCTGCCTGGTCATGGGTAGCATTAGTTTGGAAGACGAGAATTAGTTGGGAGAATGTCAGATATCAGAATAACTTAATTGTTCGAAATCAAAATATATATCTGTTAAACTGTTGTATTGGACTGACAAAAAGAATGTTGTGGAAGTGTAGGTGCCTACTTACATTTGAGAGACGACGATGGAATGCGTCTTTATTAATAACGAAAATAAAACAAGAACTTAAATATAAAATCCGAAGTGATTTGGATAATATGTCTAAACAAGAATTTGATAAAAATTATAGAGGAACGGAAGTTATTTGGAAAATACAAAATGATGAAATTCGATTTAATGATGAGTGGCGATGATTTTAAAATTTATTTTTGTGTTGAGTTAAATTGTAAAAGTGTTTATAATACTTAATTGATGTTTTATATTTTTAAAATGTACTTACTTTTCTTTACTTTTTGTATTTACTGTTGTTGTTTCTTTTTCAATGTTACTACCTGAAAGAAAAGATTTATATTATAAATTTTTGTAATTTTGGGATTTATGTAAATTCAAATTTTGTTATTTTGTAAATTTTGTCGGTTTTACCTGTGTTTTTAATAGGAAGCATGTATTTTTTCCCCTGTTTTAAAGGGGGTTTTAGTTTTTATGTTGTATATTTACTTTGATGTAAGTTCTGATTATTGTCGGGTTTTGTTTATTTGTATATTTTATTAACCTGTTTTTGATTGTCGGGTATTTGTAACAATGTAACTAACCTTCCCTGTGTGGTGTATTTATTGGGAGGGCTATGCATGTTGTCCACAAGTTGAGCGTGTGTTAAAGTTTTTCTTATTACCTTTTCTTCAGCATGCGCGTTTATTATAACATGCTGAATCGTCAATGGCATCTTCTGTGAAGGATAATAGTTTACTTTTGGCCTAGTTGTCCCCCAAACTTTAATACCACAGTATCTGTTCTTATCAGCTTGATATCTGATACGGTCTCCATCGGAGACCTTCGATATTAACCTGATTTTTGGAACGGGGCGGGAAAGGGGGCTTGCTCCCTCCCCGCCGCGGGTTGCTCTGGCCTGGCACTTNCACTTTCCCTCCTCTCTATTGATGTTCAGAGGGCATTCGATACTGTAAACCGTCAGGTTCTTTGGAAGATATTAGATTACTATGGTTTAAATGATAAAGAAATAAATGTTATTAAGAGATTATACCATCTCCCGAGTACTTGTATTAAGATTAATAGTAAAACTTCAGAGGATATAGACTGTAAGATAGGTGTCCGGCATGGTTGCCCTAGTTCGATGATTCTATTTACGATATATATTGAAACATTATTGAAAACTATAGATAGTGATAAAATAATAGAACCGATCTATATCCCAGGAATGCAAGACAATATAAAATACATAACGCATGCAGATGATATCACGTTTCTAGTCGTAAATAAACCTAGTTTTAATAGTATATTATATAAATTACAGCAATTTTGTGAATACACTGGAATGAAAATTAATAAAAATAAGTGTAAAATTATTGATATTGTAGGAAACATAGGAAAAAATCAAAATGATATCGAATATTGTGAAAACATGAAAGTACTTGGGATATGGTATGGTAATAATGCGGAACAAAAGAACTTGGAAGAGATGCAGACAAAAATTAAAAGTGAGATTACGCATTGGGCTGAGAACTGGCTGTATATGCCAGAACGCGTACAAGTAATTAATAGAGTAATAATTCCAAAGATTATCTATAAGTTATATATTACAAATTTAGATAAAAATGATATAAAAAATTTAGAAAGAGATATTTATACTTATTTGTGGAACGAAACATTTGAACCAATGAGTAGAAAGATCATGCGAAATGACATCAATGAGGGAGGATGGGGTATAATTGACCTGAAAGATTTTGAGAGATCATTACAAATGAGTATTGTTATAAATAGTCTTAGAGAAAATAACCATCCACTTTTTTATTTAATTAGATATATAATAGGACCGATCTCCAATCATATAACCCGGCAGGCAACAAGTTATCCCTTTATGATGAGTAATAAAAGAAAATATAAAAAATGGAGGGAAATATTAAGAGGTCTAATAGATAATTATAGTAACGTGTTGGATTTTGGAAGAAAAATTAGACCGAAATATATTTATAATCTTATTCATAGACAGCATATGAGTAATAATATGATAAATAGTACTATGGATTGGCCCAAAATTTGGAAAAATATATTTAGTATTATGCCTGCCGAGTGGATAGAGATTTCATGGCGAATCTTGTCAAATATTGTAATGTGTAAAGAATATTTACGGATATATAATAGAGTAAGAGATGAGAGATGTACAAGATGTAGATCTGTAGAATCTATAGTACATATACAGTAGATCCCCCTATAAGACGGTAGATACGTTCCGTTCTTTATGAATCAATTTTGTAGGAATCATAGTTTACGGACTACGGCTGTTTGAAAGGTTTTCTTTCATAAAATTAATCGATTCTAGACTAATTCGACTCAACATTTCCAAAATACGTATATTTTTTTGAAAATAATCCGTATAAACTACGTTATAAACAAAAAATTGTAGGATTGCTTACCGAGTGTGTACCGTTCGACTACGCCCGTTGCTAAAGCTTGGTTTCGTCGCGGAACAGCGCATCAAACCGCGGCCGCGATTTCTGATATTATTTTTCTGCGAAAACTTCGTTGACCTTTGGAGACATCCTTAATATAAATAATTTTTATGGCCGTTAAATAAGAAATGTTTCTTTCACAAGAAATGTATAAAATTACAGTACTGGACAGACGATAGGTCGCCTAACTCGCCGTAGCGTGACGCTAGACGGCGAAAAATATATATTTAATTATAATAAAGTTACAATAAATTAAGTTAATATATAATTATATATACAGTACCTAATTTATATATAATTAATATATAATTATATGTACAGTACCTAATTTATATATAATTATATGAACAGACGATACTAAACTCAATTTATCCGCCTAAACGTCCGTAGCGTGGCGCTACGGACGGCGGGAAAGTAGTTCGGCTGCCCGATGACGTTTTACGTATTATAGGAGTTATTTTTACCGTTGTTTACGGATAATGCCACAATTTTTATAGGAATCATAACTATAGGAAACGATTTTATAGGGGGATCTACTGTATTTTACGAATGTAATATTGCGGTATCGGTCTGGTAATGGGTATCAAAAGTATGGAAGACGAGAATAAGCTGGGAGAATGTTAAATATCAAAACAACTTGATTGCTAGAAATCAAAATATATATCTGCTAAACTGTTGTATTAGATTGACAAAAAGAATGTTGTGGAAATGTAGATGTTTACTTACATTTGAGAGAAGACAATGGAATGCGTCCTTATTAATAACTGAAATAAAACAAGAACTAAAATATAAAATCCGAAGTGATTATGATAATATGGCTAAACAAGAATTTGATAAGTTTTATAGAGGTACAGATGTAATTTGGAAAGTTCAAAATGATGAAATTCGATTTAATGATGAGTGGCGATGATTTTATTTTTAAATTCTGTGTTAAGTAACGAGTGAAGTGTTTATACTAAATATTTGATGTTCTATTTTTAAAATGTAATTTATTGTTTATTAGTTCTTGGGTTTTACTGTTGTAATTTTTCTTATTGTTTTACCTGAAAGAAAAGATTTATACTATAAATTTTTGTACTTTTGGGTTTTATGTAAATTTATATATTTTCACATTTTGTATTTATACTTTTTTGTCGGATTTACCTGTGTTTTTAACAGGATGTTTGTATTTTTCCCCTCATTCAAAAGGGGTTTTAGTTATTTATGTTATATATTTACCTTGATGTATTTTACTTTATTATTGTCGGGTTTTTGATTTATATGTATCTATTAACTAGTTCATGATTGTCGGGTACTTGTTTTTGTAACTAACCTTTCTTGTGTGGTGTGTGTTTTCTGGGGAGGGTCAAGCATGTTGTCCATGAGTTGAACGTGTGTTTAAGTTTTTTATTACCTTTTCTTCAGCATGCGCGTTTGTTATAACATGCTGATCGTCAATGGCATCTTTCGTGAAGGACATTATTTATCTTTTCGGCCTAGTGGTCCCCCAAACTTTGAAAACACAGTATCTGTTCTTATCAGCTTGATATCTTATACGGTTTCCATCGGAGACCTTCGATATTAAACTGATTTTTGGAACTGGGCGAAATAGGGGGCTTGCTCCTTCCCTGCCACGGGTTGCTCTGGCCTGGCACTTATTGCCAGAGATAGCCCACCCCCCTTTGGGGGGAAATAAATAATAAAAGATAGAGAAATTAATTAATGAGGAAAAAATTTTTTTTCTTTTTCCAGTCGGATGTCCTTCACGGAAGATGACAGAGGATCGATTACAGCTATAGGAAGACAATCTACAAGCATGGATTTGCAGGAAAAAGAAATCTGGCGAATTGCAGAAGAAAAGTTAAGAGAAACTGTGGAAAGCGATAAACCGCCATCGCCGCATACTTCCGGTACGCTACGATGAATAGGAGCGATGCAAGAAACACCTTCCCGTTCTTTCGGTCGAAATCGCTAATCGGCGATTCGAAGTTATTGAAGAAAAATGAAATGTGCAATTTTTTCACAGTGTCACTACTGTGGACAATATGCATGGCCTGCACATAGAAGGCCCAGGCACCCCTGGAAAGGTAAGCCTCACTCTTTACATTTCTGTATGGAACAAGCGCGACATTTTTCTAAAATAACGGATAAAACCGATTTGTTTCAAACGTATTGCATGAAATATATTGTAATATCGAATCGGCAAATATTCTACGTTAAATACTGAAATCGGTAATGTATTTTGCTAGCGAAAAAAATTTAGCATCGAAATGCTATCAGTATCAGACCGACGCAACGCAGGTATGGACTGCGGCATAATTTCCTCCTGTGATGATTGGTGACCAACAGGAGTTTTATGCCGTTGTCAGGCCTCACCCATGCAATACCTGACATTTCCTGTAGCCTTTTGCATCGTCACCTATCGTTTCCTGACGTTCTTTCGTGTGTTTTAACGGATATTTGCCGATCAACGTAACTGGACACACCGCAGGTGTTTTGTATGTCTCCACACTTGGCCTGTCGGCACCTTTGATGTGTTTTTTATCGCTTCTCGGCCTTCTTTGGCTAAGATCGAATAGTTGGTTCTTAAGCCTACTAAGTCAGTTTTAGGGTGTTTAAGGGCACCCAGGTCGACGTTTCTGCTATTAGCCTTTTTGGTTTTGTATAACCAAAGAGGCGCCCTTTGGTAAGGTTTCCTTACTAAAAGAGGAAGTCCAGGTCCCTTTAGCAACTGGGCTTTAACCAAAAAGAGAACAGTTCTCCTTTTATTGCTCTGGAGGAACCTGCCTGCGCATTCTAGCGTATTCGCGGGGAAATCCAAGCCAATATCCCCACGGTTGGCCCCATCTTTACAGTAGGGCTTCTTCCTTACTTTTCCTACTTCTATACCCATGGAGGGTATTTCTTCAGCCGCTTGGGCGTATAGTGTCCCAATGGAGGACACTACTCCAACCAAGGGTCCAAGTTCTAATATGGTAGTTGAGGCTAGTTTAGCTTCCTCCTCTGTTAGTAAGCCTATGATAGTTAGTGTAGGTAAGACTAATACTAAGTCTAGCCAACCTGCCCCTAGGCCTGTCTCCGGTCACGTTCGTGCCGTTGAGCAGCCCACTTTCAAGGGGGTCAGGCTGGTCGGAATGAAGTCTTCTAAGGCTTCTGCTGCTCAGTCTGGTCTGGTGAGTCAGGTGGCTGCTGCCGATAAGACAGCAAATCTGGCCCCTAAGGCCAGTTTTAGTAAAGTAGTTAGTGGGACCGCTCCCGCTAAGCCTGTATCTTCGTCCGCTTCTGGGCCCTCAGTGCCCCAGAAGACCAGCTTTGCTAAAGTAGCAGCACGTTGGGCTCCAGCAGCCACTGTGTCTGCTCACACAAACAAGTTTTTCAACACCGAGCAGTTAAATGCAGGTGTTTTAGCACAGCATAAATGTGCCAAACCTGCCGTCCTTAACGGCAGGATGCGAAGGGTGCTCAGTGCCCATGTTTCTGTTCCGGAAGGCTCGACCGTTGACGAGATACTGGACGGCATAGAGCGCACCCTTGCGCCTGGGGAGGTTTCCCGGTTTGCGCCCATGGGCAAAGAACGGTATTTTATAGGCTTTCGGTCGACAGAGAGTCGCCGCCTATTAGTTTCCACTGGTTTTGTGGTCAAGGACGTTAGGGTTTTCCCCGTCCCGCTTGATGAAGACATCACTACTGTCTTCATTAGGTTCCTTCCTCCCGAAATGGACCTAAAGGCTGTTCGCCTGTTGATGGGCCAATTCGGAGCCGTAAAGACTGTGTCTATGCAAAAGGTCCCGGGCCGCCCGCATATAGACACAGGAACGGTCAAGATTTGTATCGAGGTTAAGAAACTGATCCCCAACATCGTATACTACGAGGGTGTGCCCCTGACCCTTGGGTACCGAGGTGTAGAGCAAATCTGTCGACACTGCCTCGAGCCGGGTCACGAGCAGAGGGACTGTAAGGCTAGCCTCTGCGAAAACTGCCATAGCAGGTTTCATGCTGCGAGGAATTGTCCAAATCCGTGCCGAGTCTGCACGGGGGACCATAGCATTCTGTCTTGTAGTGCAAAGGGCTCTGTTGAGGAAGCAGCTGCTTCCGACAACATCGAGATGGAGGTGTCCATGGATGCCTCTGTCCCCGTCTCTTCTCCCGTCAACCTGCCGGAGGCCCAAGCTGCTCCAATGGTTGTCGAAGATACTGCCCCAGTCCCAGCTCCGCCTGTGGAAACTGGCAATAGTAATAAGGTAGATGATAAGATAGAGGAAGACTGCTCTAAGCTAGATAATAGGGAGCGGTCAATAAGTAGTGTTAGGACTAGAAGTAAGACTAGTCGTAATCCCAAGGGGAGTAAAGGTGAAAGTAGTAGCGATATGTCCGCTGCTGCGGGATCCGGATCTGGGAGGGAAGGTAGGCCTAGTAAACGGGCCTGCCGCCGTAGACGTAAGAATAGGAAGGCCAGGGATGGCAAGTCCTCCGACCCAAGTACGGAGGAATACTAACCCCCTAATCCAAACATGTCTTTCAAAATACGTTTAGCATCCCTTAATTGTAATGGACTTCGGTCCATCCCCCGCCAGCTTTTTGTTGCTTCCCTATTGACCTCCCTTCAGCTAGATATTCTGGCTTTGCAGGAAACATATTTTGAGAACATGCGAAGAGTTAGGAATTTTAGGCCTAAAATTAGGGGCTATAATAGTTATTATAGCTTCTCCAGGGGTAGGAGCGGAGGAGTTGCACTCCTCGTCTCCTCCAGTATTACGATCCAACAGTTCCTCACTGATAGTGACGGAAGGATAGTTTGTTTAGACATTGTTAAAAATAAAAAAACTGCTAGGGTTGTTTGTATTTATGGCCCTACGAGGCCTAGATTACGTTCGGACTTTTTCCAAATTCCTGGTAGCTATCTTGCTACCAATAGAGACATATTTGTCATTGGTGATTGGAACGTGATCCTCCGTCCCGAAGACAAGGAAGGAGGTAGCTGGTCCCCTGATAGTACTAGAAATAAGCTTGAAGACCTCTTGAGTAACTTTTCCCTTAAAGATGTGCAGCTTGCTATTTTGTCCGGCAACACTATCTTTACGTGGTCCAATGCCAACGGCTCTATAAAATCGAGGTTGGATAGGATGTACTCTAACATCCCATCTTCTGCTTCCGACTTTTCTGTCATACCTCTCCATTTCCAGGGCAATCGGTTCTCGGACCATTCGCTGGTAATGGCTACACTCAATCTATCCTGTTCTTCAAAACGTAACCGTTTTCTCCTCACCCCTGAAATCCTTAGGGACGAGGAATTTCTGTCCTCTACGGACAAGCTACTAACAAATACACTATCACTTTCCACTGTCAGCCTTGAGGACTGGTGTCGGTGTAAGAAGGAGATTCTCCAGCTTGCCCGCTCAACCGATAGGCGCCTTCACCACAGGAGACACTGTCGTCTGAGGCTTCTTCAACGCTTCTTATCTGACTGTCACTGCTGCAATGATAAATCTGGGTATACTGAAGGCCTCATCAGCCAGCATTTCTGCCCTTTTGACAAGTAGATTCGAACACGCCTATGAAGGGTATAAGGTCTCTCGCCTGAACACCCCGAGGCGTTTCGACTCGAAGTTTTTCGGTCGTTATTGCAATGACAAATCCAAAACTAACGTTCCCTCCATCTTAAAGCACGATGGCACCTTAACAACAGATGACCAAGAGATTACCCAGGTTTTCTTTCGGCATTTTTCCCAGTTCTTTGCTCCCACTCGTGTCGACTCATCCCAATGGGAAGACATGATAAGAGCAATTCCTACAGCTACTCTTCACCCTTTCACGCATCTGTTTTCACAGGATTCAGTGAAATCCGCTATTTCTGCAATGCATGCAGGCAGATCTCCTGGACCTGACAACTTGCCAGCTGAGTTCTATAGAGTTTTTTCCGATAAATTGTCCTCCCTTCTCCCGATGGTTTATAACCCTATGGTTTATAACTCGTCCTCAGACATCAAATTGATTTCAGATATCACACCACGTGATGAGTTCAAACTTGTGTGTGGTGTGATGGTGACTTGTATGTCTCCTAGAAATTTTGTCTTCATAAGCTTTTCAGACTGTTGAGAGGAGGCTGTCTCCACGAGCAGGTCTCCTGATCTCAACTTTTGGATTTTTTTAAGATGCCCAATGGTAGATTCAAAAACTTTCTGAATCAAAAAGGAGGAACGTTTAGAAAGAGTTGTTTCTCCCATAGCATGCACGATGAGATAGGCTGGTTGGTTGGAGGAACTGTCCTCCTTTGGTGGTGGTGCATTGGTACATGATTTTTNTATTGTACGTTTCCAGACTTGGCCCGTCGGCACCTTTGATGTGTTTTTTATCGCTTCTCGGCCTTATGGCTAAGATCAAATGTGTAGTATCTGTTCTTATCAGCTTGATGGTCTTTTAACATGCTGATCTCAAGGAAAACCCTGGATTTCGAGCCACATCTGCTCCCCAGATCAACGACTGCCTGGACCGCTACAGCTGCCCGGTAAGTTTGTTTTACTACTTCCCTGTCCTCTCCTCTTCTTACTTCCGCCAGAAGAGCGGCCTGCACGGTTTAAACGCACCGTGTATTCGCTGCTCGACTGGCAACGCTTTCGTCTATCGTTACCAGCCCAGGTTGGTAACTTTCCCAGTGCTCCGCCTGGACACCCCGTGGCCCTCAAAGCCCGTGGTGTTTCACGGAGGACACCCTCTTTCTTCCCCTTCCTGCCCCCCCTTGGTTGGCTGCTCCGGCACCCCAGGGGGCACCTCCACCTCTTTCCCACCTCTCTTTCGCTGCACATTTGATCCATGGCTACTACTGGCGATTGTACGGATGTCACCCTTCTTGTGCCTCTGCGCCCCCCGTACTACTGCCCTCACTGCATGCCATGTTACCGAGACTACGTCGATCATGGAGGCTTGTCCCGGCACCTTCGCCGCGGCCATAGAGCCAAACTGAACTTTGAATGCCGTGCTTGCGGAGTACGCTCCGACAAGCTCAAGGAAATCAAGCTCCACCAGGCAAAGTCCGCCAGCTGCTCCAGTCAGCTGCCGACTATCTCGCCCAATAGCTCCAGGGACCCGAAGCAACGCCTCCGTATGCCGGCCAACCCCTTGGGACCACGAGCCCGGCGCTCGACACGAAGGCACGACGCAGCCTGCCCAACCCCCCAGGACAGTAGCTGCGTCGACACCGACCGCAGCCCGCCTCCATCACCAACTAACGACCAAGTAACCAACTCTTCGCCATGCACCAATGACACATCAGTCACTCCTCGTGGCGCCAGTGATAGCACCACCCCACCTCTCATCAGACGTCCTCGCCGCCGCCGCCACCGCCGATCGTCCACGCAAGACCCCACTGCCGATGCTGCCTCTGCCATCCTTCCCAACACCAACGCCTCTGTTTCTACTAGTCTCACTACCGACGTCACCCCTTCCAGCGAGCCAGCCACCCAACCGCCGGCCGCCGTCGACTCCACCTGCCAGCCAGCTGCCACCTCCACTCGCCAGCCAGCTGCCACCACCAACCCGGACGACCAACCCGCTGCTCCAGTGGCCAACCAACCCGCCGTCGACACCAATGCCGAGCTCCCGCAATGGGTCACCGCTTGGTGCGAGCGTTTCAACTGTGCACTGGACGAGGACATGCTGGAAGTCATGGTGAGTGACCTCACTTGCCTGGCCCAGAGCATGTCCCCCCAACAGCGGACACAAGCCAACAGCTACCAACGCCAACCTCGCCGTCCCACCAACCAACGCAGCAACACCAACAGGCCTCAACGGTACAACGCCGCCGAAGCAAGTAGAGTCCAGCGCCTCTACCGTGCTAATAAAAGGAAGGCCTTTGAAGAAATCACAAGAGGCACCGGCAGATTCTGCCAGATCGGTAAGTCTGCCCTTACTGACCACTTTAATGCCATTAATAGCCAACCCTCTGCAGACCTGGGACCAACCAGCGACCAGCTACCACCACCCCTCCAACCGACGAGCGACGACCCCCTCAACTGCGTTTTTACTCCCAACGAGGTCTCTACCCGGCTCAACAAATGCCACAACACAGCGCCAGGCCCTGACGGCGTCCGTTACTACACCTGGAGACGTCTGGACCCCCAGGGCCACATCCTCGCATCGCTGTTCAACGCAGTACACCGTACTGGAGCCATTCCATCGGCATGGAGAACCTCAACTACAATCCTCCTACACAAGAAGGGCAGCCGCGACGATGTTCGCAACTGGCGCCCCATTGCCTTAGCAAACACTTTAGGTAAGATCTACGCCGCCTGCATCGCCAACCGCCTCCTGCGTTGGTGCGAGGAGAATAACACCATCTCCACCGCGCAGAAAGGATTCATGCGATTTGAGGGCTGTTCTGAGCACACATTTGTGCTCCAGTCCATCATCCAGGACGCCCGGCGTAGAAACAAAGAGTGCCACATAGCGTGGCTGGACCTTGCCAATGCCTTTGGCTCGGTCCCTCACTCCACCATCCTCGCCTGCCTAAAGTGGTGTGGCCTCGGCCCACACTCGATCTACCGCATCCGACAGCTCCTAACCGGCTGCCACACCCGTATCCGTTCCTGCACCGGACTTACGGATCCCATCCCCATCTTGGCAGGTGTTAAGCAGGGCTGTCCCCTCAGCCCAATCCTTTTCAACATTGTTGTAGAGCCAGCTCTCCGCCTACTATCAAACCTACAGGTTGGGTATCCTCTCCACGGCCACTCCGTCTCGGCACTTGCCTATGCCGATGACATAACCATCGCCAGCGCCACTAGATCCGGTCTTCAATCACAGTTGGACCTCTTGTCATCATGGGCCCAATATAGTGGCCTCTCCTTTAACGCCGCCAAATGCGCCACCTTGTCCGTAGCAGACAAATACCACTGCTCCAGCAGCTCCTCCAGCTTCAAAGTACAAGAGGCCCGCATCCCAAAACTGAAGAAAGAAGATCACTACTCTCACCTTGGAATACCAACTGGTTTCACCGTAGGTACAACAGCAGAATCAGTCATTGACGGTATCCACACAGATCTTAGACTCGTGGACACTTCCTGCCTCGCTCCATGGCAGAAGATTGACTGTGTTAACACCTTCCTACTGCCACGGTTAACGTTCCACCTCACCCTAGGCAACACACCAAAAAAACGCCTCAACGACCTGGATAAGGCAGTCAAACGCTGCATCAAGCGCTGGATGCACCTGCCCCAACGCGCCTCACCTGAAATCGTCTACATGCCCAACTGCCAAGGCGGAGCCAATGTAACACCGTGCGGCATTCTCGCCGATATTGCACAGGTGAGTCACGCTACTAACCTTTTCCTATCCAGAGATCCCACCATCTCCAACCTCGCCACCAAGACACTCGAAAAAGTCGTTGAGAAGCGAATAAGACGGAAGCCCACCGGCCAAGACCTCTGCACATACCTCACCGGGTCCATGGAGAACGAGTTCGGGACAGACCCTTACGACATCCCCTCCCTCTGGACCCGCCTGAGAATGGCAACCCGACGATTAAGGAACCGAATCAACCTCAACTGGCATCCAAATGAAGATGGCACCCTCACTCCCTCCGTCGACGGTAAGCTTATCAACAAACCAACGGCATTCAACACCCTGTCAACCGCCGTGAAGACCACCTTCCTCGGCTCTCTTCTACGTAAGCCCGACCAAGGAAAGGTCTTCAAGCTTACCGCGACCAACAAGAACAGCAACCACTTCCTGCACGATGGGAATTACATCAGATTCGCTGATTGGCGATTCATCCATCGTGCAAGGCTTAGTGTAGTGCCTCTCCGCGGCCTTCGTCGCTTTGGAAACTCCACCCAGCAGTGCCGCAGATGCCAGCGTCACCGCGAAACACTTGCCCACGTGATCAATCACTGTCCGCCCAACCTCAGCCAGATCACGACACGACACAACGCGATCCTCAACCGCCTGATAAACGCCATCGACCGCAAAAATCTCAGAATCTACACGAATCAACAGATTCCTGACTTCCACAGCACGTGTCGCCCCGACCTGGTGGTAATAAACAACAATCCGAAGACGGCGACCATTGTCGACATTGCCACCCCTTTCGAAAACGGCGAGGACGCCTTCAACCGTGCCAGAGAAGAAAAGATCCGTAAGTACAGCGACCTCGCAGCCCACTACAAACACAAGGGCTATGACACCTACATCGACGCCTTCATTGTCGGGGCCTTGGGGGGCTACGACGCCGCCAATGAAGGTGTCATTCAACGACTAGGCATCTCACGGAACTATGCTAAACTCATGAGACGCCTGATGGTGAGTGATTGCATAAAGGCCAGTAGAGACATATATACTAACCACCTTGGCCCACGCTACCAGAATTGAACTGCAACCTACACCACAGCATTTTGTACTTCACCGGCCATATGCCCATGTAAGCGCGCACCTAAACTTTGTATATCTGACAGGCTATGAGCCCTTGGAACGCGATTCATATACTCTCTGTAAATATATAGCAGGCTATGTGCCCATGGAACGCGTTAGGGGCCCTGCCCCACTTCTTTTCATGCTTACCTTTGCCAAATTCTACTCTCACTTGTCGGCCAAATGTGCCCATGTCATTACTCGCTACCTAACCGGTAACTTTCTTGTATATATTTTATTGATATCAATAAATGGTTTTTAACTCTGTTCTTATCAGCTTGATTTATCCATAATCAACTGATCTACCCAGGACTAAAGCTGGATTCCGAGCCCACTTTGCTCCCTGGTTTTAGAGCCTACCTTGCTCCCTGGATTTGGACCTGGACCACCAGTGTGTAAGTATTGTTTTAGTTACTCTCTCTTTCCTCACTCTTCTCTCTTCCGCCAGGAGAGCGGCCTGCACGGTTTAAACGCACCGTGTATTCGCTGCTTAACTGGCAACACTTTCCTGTCGGCGCTAGTCCTTGCTAACGCCCTTCTTGGTGCCCTGCCGGGACGCCCCCGGGCGCTTTGCACAGGCACCCTCTTAGCGTTTAGGCCACTATACGCTATACTTTCTCTTCCCCTTCCCGCCCCTCCTTGGTTGGCTGCTTTGCACCCCAGGGGGCGCTTCAACCCCTTCCACTGCTTATTTTCGATACTACACTTTGATCACAATGCCATGTGAAACCGTGTTGGTGCCTTTACACCCACCTCACGGATGCAGACTCTGCCTCCCCATCCCGAGGGAGTATAGTGATCATGCGGGGCTTGTCAGGCACCTCAAGAGAGAGCACAACGCATCTCTTCATTTTGAGTGTAGGGCCTGCGGATTGGTTTTGGAGAAACTCAAAGCACTGAAAGCACATCAGATGCGCTCTGATGCATGCAAAACAAGCATTGAGGAAGCTACTCCACCGCCTCCACCTCCGGCGAACAAGACGATCCGGCGGATTCGAATCAGACAGAAGAAACAATATGCACCCAGGCAATCTGGAGCTACAAGAACACCATCCTCCGAGAGCGACAACTCCACATATACTCCTCCGTCACNTATTTTGCTAGCGAAAAAATATTTAGCATCGAAATGCTATCAGTATTCGACCGACGCAACGCTGGTACGGGCTGCGGCATAATTTCCTCCTGTGATGATTGGTGCCCAACAGGAGTTTTATGCCGTTGTCAGGCAACACCCATGCAATACCTGACATTTCCTGCAGCCTTTAGCATCGCTTGCTATCGTTTCCTGACGTTCTTTCGTGTGTATTAACGGATATTTGCCGATCGACGTCACCTGGACACACCACACGTGTATTGTACGTTTCCAGACTTGGCCCGTCGGCACCTTTGATGTGTTTTTTATCGCTTCTCGGCCTTATGGCTAAGATCAAATGTGTAGTATCTGTTCTTATCTGGTAAGTATTCTCCATTTTTACCCTCTTTTGACTATCCTTTTGCCTTATCACTTCCGTCATTTCACTGGCCTGCACGGTTGAAACACATCGTGTATTCGCTGGTGAGGTGACACAACTTTGCCTATTAAGGGGAGAGCAGCTAGCTGCACCCCCTCCCGCACTCCCCCCACTTTTCCCCCTTGGGATCTCCACCCAAGGCTCCCTCTTCTTCCACCGTCCTCTCCTTCCCACCACCCCCACCTTCTTCCCTTCATACTTGATCTTGGCCAGCCGAGACTGCGTCCTTCTCGCACACGTGTGCGCCCATTCCACTTCCGCGCAGTGCCCTTAGGATTACCTTTCTTTGCCTTGTGTGTTTTACCCCGGATACTTGTGGATATCGTCGATTGTGTTTGTGTGCCACGCCACGCAAGTGTGTATCTGTGCTTATATCTGCACCTCATCTTGTTAGAGTGGCAATGGATGCTCAACGACCAACGACGAGCTACGCCCAAGCAACCATAGGGACTCCAATAAGTGACTCGAACCATGCAGATAGCATATACGAGGACACTCCAGGAGATGGTGAGACGGACATCTGCTCCAACCAGTGCCCCCTTTCTCTGGATGCCGAAGATGTAGTCGATGCGTGTGATAATATCAACAACCCATGCGACGACGCTCGCACAGACGATGAGGAAGACTTCAACATGTACACTACCAAACGTTCAATCCGGATACTGACAAATGAGAGACTAAATAGTGAGGAAATCATAGATGCTTGTGAAAACATCCTAGGACAAGATGGACTTGTTGAACAGATTTGCTATAAACAACCAAATATAGTCGAAATTGGATTAAACACTCCGAGAGCGAAGGACAAATTGATGGGACACTCCATAAAGGTAAGAGGTTTTGACTATCTTTGCGAAAGCCTTGAGGAGGATTTGATGACAGTCACCATCCGATACGTACCGAACGAAGCGGATAAGTCTATAGTTAAGGGAGCGCTGTCACAATTTGGCAATGTCATTAAAGTACTTGTAAACACCATCAACTATAAAGATAGAAAGATAAAAACAGGGACATATCGTGTAATCATTAAAACTAGAAAATTATTGCCCAACTTTGTAGAAATATTAGGGGACAAAGTAGAGCTATTTTACAAAGGTAAAAAAAAACAATGCTGGCGCTGTGGCAGCCCACAACACGAAATAAAAGACTGCCAGATAAAACTCTGCTACAGATGTAAAAGCCCAAAACACCTTATAAGAGATTGTCCATTATGCTATAACTGCAAACAGCAGCATGATAGAGAACACATGTGCCCAAAACCAACCTTTTTAGAAATATGCAAAAGAGGGGGCAGGGACATAAATAAACAAAAAAAGCGGGAGAAAAGTATAGAAAGACAAAAAACCATAATCAGCGAAAAAAGCGAAAACGAAATAGATGAACCTGACACTAACAACAACAAGCAAGAGATAAACCAAAATGATAATCTAGATATAACAGAAACAACTGAAAGTATACTAGAATCAGATCCAAAAAGTGAAGAAATAAATAAAAATAAAAAGGAAAACCTTGAAAACAATGAAACAGAACAAGAATTAGAACAGGAACAAAATAACAAAATAGAAGACAAAATAGAAGAGGAAAATAATGCTGCAAAAGTAAGAGAGGAAATCTTATCCATCAGTCTAGATGCCAGCTTAACTGGTAAAGAAATAATCGAAAAGGTAGAAAAGGTAATCACTAAAGTTGAAAAAAAGAAAACAAGGAAAAGTAAAAGATTAATAGGACAACCCAACAACTATTAAATTCGCGACCATCAACATTAAATCGATAAACATAACTGGCTTTAGAGATGAGGCAAAACAGGTCTATATTCTTAATCTGATTCACACCTACAAAACTGATATTATTCTTGTACAAGACACCAATCTCTACGACTTCTGGGACCTGAGGAATCTTAGAAAAATCTTCACAAACTACAATATTTACTTGTCCTTCGCCCCCAGAAGAAGTACGGGCGTCATGACAATGATAAACAAAAAAATAAAAGTTAATGATTTTAGATCTGACAGCAATGGCAGAATTTTAGCTGTAGACATTCAAGCAAATAAAAATCTTACTAGGATAATCAACATATATGCACCAACACAAGCAGCTGATAGAAAAAAATTATTCATAGATCTACCCAATTACTTTATTGGAGGAAGAGAGATAATTATGGCAGGGGATTTTAACTGTGTTTTGGACCAAATAGACAAAAATACACCCCTCTCTTCTGACAGCTCCAGAATTGTTTTAAAAACCTTAATTGAAGACTTCAATATGAAAGATGCATACCGTAATACTTATCCCACCCAACATGGGTACACCTGGGAAGGAAGAGGGATTTATGAAAGACTCGATAGAGTGTACTTCAACAGCAAAAATAGCAAAGTAAAAAGCATTCATCTGTGGACGTTAACTAATAACAACAAAAAAATCTCTGACCATAAATTGATTAACCTGGACATTGAAATTATAACCTCCAAAAGAAAATATAACAAAATAAAACTAACCAACGACATTCTTGATGATCCCACCTTCCAAAAAGACATTCTAACTATTCTCAACCAAAGCAAAAACAATAGTACCTGGGACCAATGGAATAAGGATAAACTCAACATCATTAATACAATTGAATATACCTGGAAAAAAATAAAAAGGAACAATTTCTGTAAACTCAAACAGTTACAACGAGACCTCAGTAACAAAATAATTAATAACAACAAAGAGGATATCAACAAATTAGAAAGAGAGATCAGCAATGAAATTGAGAAAAAGACAAAAGAGAACTATATTCAATACAAAATGAGTAGATTAGGCATAAAAAGAAACGCTGAAAACCTAATCCTCAAGAAAAAAAACAAACCCAAGGAAGCAATAGACCTAGACCACCTAATCATAGACAATAATAGTACAAACGATGAAGACATTATACTAAAAGAATTCCAACGTTTTTATAGCGACATCTACAAAGAACAAGAAACTGACCTAAGCATGTGGAATATTATTAAACATAATATAAAGCCAATCAAAGACAACAAATGCAATAAAATTAATGAGGAAATCACAAAAAAAGAAATCGAGAAAGCCATAGACAATATGCATATCAGGAAAGCCCCAGGGCCCGATGGGATCCCAGCAGAGTTCTACCGGTTCTTCAAAACAAATATTATAGACATTCTGTTCAAACTTTACAACACCACAAACTTCAGTAACAACTTTAACTCTGGAACTATGAAACTCATAAACAAAAAAGGTAATAGCGGTGGCCATGTCGGTGACTATAGACCAATAACATTATTAAATATTGACTACAAAATTTACAGTAGCATCATAGCTGATAGACTTGAGAAGCTTTTCCAAGATCACATTGGGCAAACACAAAGTGCAGGAATTAAAAAAAGGTCTATTCAAGACAACATTATGCTTATTAAATTAATCAGTGAAATCTACACCATCAGAAAATCAAAT